TGCGCGGAAATTTATTTTGTCATTTTAACGACCTGCGCGGTGCGCCGTACTATGCTGGTAAAAAAATGCGCCGTGCGCCGTACTTTAGAAAGCTATAATAGCTCTACTATTTTAGTCAACAATATACGCGAGTATATTGACTACGCGAGTTGAAGTTTTGAACTGACAATAATAAAATGTAAGACATGTCGGGGTTACTTCTGACTCTTCCGCAGGCTGGAATTCTAAGAATGGAAGTTCACTTATAAAAAAGCTTGCCACCCAATGAAAAGCTTTCCCACAGTGCTGTGCCAAGTGACTGACTAAAGTGACTATAAATGAATAGGAGGATCAAAAATGGACAAAATGTTTCAATTTTATAGGACATTAGATTTGTATTTGTAAGAACTATTTTTATTTGGATGTCTCTTGTTTGATAGATACTTTTTATTTGACTTTTATTTAATGGATTTTTTTACATTTTCCAGACCTTTTGTTTGTAATGATCAAATTTCGGTCAAGTTTTCAGTTAACCAGTACTGTAGTACATATACCTACCATACTTGGGGGCGGGGCTTATGGGCACAACCAATCACAGCTTGAAAGCATCCCCATCAACCAATCACAGCTTGAAAGCATCCCCATCAACCAATCACAGCTAGAAAGAAGATAACATTACAATTCCATTATCCAACCACAGCTGGAAAGCTGAAAGGGTCTAAAATCACAATCCTATCATAGGCTATCAACCAATCACAGCTAAAATTCTGAAAGGGATAGGATATGTAAATAATGGACTGAAAGTGTAAAGTTCCTGGCCTTTCCAAGTTTTCAGGTCCTGCTTTCCAATATGCTATGTGTACTGGTTAATTTATTATCCCTCTAGAATTCCACACTGCAGTCTTCCGCAGTCCGCTTGTCGGATACGGAACGTACGGTAATCGTAAACTGCAGCTATTATACATACGATATGTAAACAGACGGTGTTCAGTGTTGCCATATGACTTTGGAGAAAATTTCTTCTAAAATAAAGTTCTAGATTTCTCATTCACCAAATTTCCGTATCAAGAAAAATCATATATTATTGAAAGATAATTAAAGCCTAAAGGCATACTGTACTGAGTAATCTGAGTATTACGTCTGTTCCTCCACAAACTGCTCGTGCGTGGCAGCGCGACGTAGAATTGATGGCCGGGATTGCGCGAACACGTGCGCGAAGAGAATCAATTTTCATTACATTGCGCCAACTCTGCACAGCAATAGCTTAGAAAAAAGTGAAAATGCGCGGGAAAATTCACCGAAAACAAACATCATCCTGAGTGTGGGGTCTTTGTTACCCCAGCTCTTGGGGTTTCTTTGACTGGGTGGTAAAATCAATTATATTTTTGGTAAAATAACTCCAAATAACTCCAGGTTGTGGTGCATTGTAGTAGAACTCTTCTAGTTACATATGCTAAAGACAGATTTTAGGAAAGTGTCATAGTTTGCCAATGGGGGGTGCCGCCCCCACCTAATGTGACCACCTAATGGCAGCCGTGATGGGGTATCATTGACCGGTTTAGAAATTAAGTTAAAATTACCATATATAAGACTCTGTAGAGTCTGAAACATAAAGAAAAAAACATTAATAGGTGTATGAGTGTATCAAACATAAAATATGTTATATAGATAGGTACCTATGGTAATTTTAACTTAATTTCCAAGCCAGTAAATGTTACCCTGTCACGGCTGCCATCAGGTGGTCAAAGTTCCCCCATTGGGGGGTGGTGCCCCCCATTTGCAAACTATGACACTTTCCTAAAATTTGACTTTTGCATATGTAACTAGAAGAGTTCTACTACAATGCATCAAAACCTGGAGTTATATTACCAGAAAATAAAAAAATTGGAGGGGGTACTCCGACAGGCTTTAAATAATAGCTCTTTTTCGTGGGTCACATTATTAATTTTTTTAAACTATTAGATATGCAAACTTTTCAAATCTTTCTATTGTGTTACATAGCCTCAGTATTAGGCCTTTGATGGCCATTGACAAAATTTTTCTATGTCAAATTGTTTTTGAGTTTTGGGGTTTTTGTTAAAAATTGACCATTGACTATTAAATTTGCTGTAGCCTTGTAGATTATTAATATTCCATGCCCTGCTTGTAGAGCTGATAATCAATTTCTCAGTCATAATGGTTATAGCTAACAATGCAGTGATTGTAGTCTATTGGTTAAAGGTCTAAAACTGTGTTTTTTTTTTAAATCAAAACTGTACTGAAAATCTGACTTAATCCTAAGCTTTATGCTTATGGAGATTAATTTATTATTATAATATTTTGAATCTAATGCGCAGGTAGTGATGGCAACAAGCAAGATGTTGCCCGAATCTTGTCTGCTGTTCAGCTATGTATCTCACGGCTGCCAAGAGACCAGCTACGCAAAGTGAAGAAAGTAGCTACATGTGGCCAAATGCATGGCTGTATGATGTGGAAGCAAGGAGATGCTTGGTTTCAAAAACCAGATTCAGACAGGTAATGTCTACATTTTAGAACTTATCAGTTTTTCGCAATTTAAAGTCTGAATTAAGATGTCATTCCACTACAACTAACCAATATGTCTAAAATTTTAAGTTGCTTAGCTGGTTTTATTTTTGCTTTTATGTCTCATATACCTACCCTAGTTGTCAAAGACTCGTATGGTAATAGATGTGTATGTGGACAAGCCTATGAGGGAATTTAATATCACTTGTGCAGGCCTCAAGTGGTCCTAGAGAACTTGAAAAAATGTATTCATAACTTTTGCTAATTTTCCTGTTTAACTTTAAATTTCAACACTAGCTTGCGTCTGCAGTTTGTTCAATGAAGTATTACTTTAACCTTGTAAATTAATTGAAATTTAGCTGCTAAATTTAAGCAGTTTCTATGAATGAAGTTATTTTGTCTGATTCGAAATTTATTAAAATGCATTATATGTTTAGCAGCCTGTGAATATGGAGTTGTTTCTGAATTGATGAGATATTTGTTTGAAAATTGATGTAGAGTCATTCTAATTTTATTTTGAAATGTTGAATTTATACATTTTTTCCTAGTCGTACTTATATTTGCAGGTACGAGACAAAAAATGTGAGCTATCTATACACATGGCAAGACAACAGATGCTCTCCTGAGTTCCTGTCTTCCTTACCAACTCCTCGCTCTCACCAGCCACTTGCCACTGGCTACGGATGTGCCACTTTGTTGTGGTTCTCTAAATACCGGCCTCTTGAATTGTCTAAGTGAGCTACTGACTGAAGTTTAGTTTCTTTTTTAACTTGGTGATCAGGTTCAAATAACAATTTTGCGACTTACAATTTATGTGTTATGCATAGTGCTTTCTTCTTTGATATGAAACTCTTCTTATAATGGAATTATAGAAATATGAATGTTTGTGAGACATATACTATATCTTGTACATTAAAATGAAAAGCATGAATGGATAATAATGGCGATACAAAAATGCAGTTTATTCCTTGTGCCATGAATTTATCATTGAGGAATATTTTAATTTGCAACCATACTGAATCTGAACGTTGCTTTAGTGTGAAAAATCTTGAATTTTATTCTAAGAATAATTTTAAATCATAAATAACTTTCATTCAAATGGCAGGTATGACAGAGCAGGCACCATACACGACTTCTTTGTAGCAATGTTGTGCGGCCTGGAACATCCTGTGATGAGTGTGCAGAATGCTGCAGCATGGGGATACTTTGACGCTGCCGCTAAGGTAGCTTTTCTTTGTACATCTGCTATTAGTTTAATGTTATACATTTACATGACACTTACATCTTTGTACATCTGCTACTAGTCTAATGTTATACATTATACATGACATTTACTTCTTTGTACATCTGATACTAGTCTTATGTTATACATTATACATGACATTTACTTCTTTGTACATCTGCTACTAGTCAAATGTTATACATTATACATGACACTTACTTCTTTGTATATCTGCTACTAGTCTAATGTTATACATTATATATGACACTCTTCTTTGTATAGCTGCTACCAGTCTAATGTTAGCTCGTCATTTCTCCTATATGTTCTTAGAAAGCTGTGTTATCAGTGGAAGTTATCGTGTCTTATTTTCATCTGGCTTGAGAGCCCACGAGTGATCAAGTTATGAATTAATGCCTACCGGTACTTATTTTTAGAATTTCTGCTTAGCTAACATGAAGCCACTGCTAACTATTATTTCCTTGGTTTTATATGCTGTATAAATATTTGCTGGAATTCTAATCTCTCAAAAAGTATTTTTTTTCTTGACCGCGCTACAAGTTATTTAGCTGTAACTCATATATTGGGTGTTTTTACCTTGCAGACGTGGAACACTGACATCTTGAGCGCTGCTGGTCTTCCTTTAGAACTCCTGCCGACTGTTGTTGAGTCTGGGGAAGTGGCAGGCGAACTGACATCCAACTGGTATGCCATCCCTAAAGGCACACCGGTCATAGCTTCACTCGGTCAGATTTGCATTCAATTAATACGTTTTACCATCTTCATGATTGCTTTTTATGTATACCTACCATTAGACTCTTTGCTATCTTTATGACAGCCTGTTTTTTATCCAACTAAGACTTATTTTTATCTATGCTTTGTATGTCTTGCTTTGTACAATGAGTTAATGTAATCAGTAATTGATTCCAGTCATTTCAATAAGTAATTGTGGGTAATTCAGTGATCGATGCCGGCAGAAAATAGGTTATTGCTTGTTCAATCTTTTAAAGATGAATGTCATTAACTACGGTAATACTTATTTGCGCCTTTACACTACATTAGATGATTTTGAGATAATAGTTAATCGTTTGCATCAATGATACAATGAGGCCGTACGCCAAGTCACAACAGCTTCTGCTTCAATGTGGGAGATTTTTTGACTATTGGATATTTTGCTCGGCTGGTTAAGATTTCCCAAGTAATATGATAACATATCCAACGAATGTTCGGACAGTGAGTGTTGTGTTGTGCAGGTGACTTGCAATGCTCGGTGCTCCCGTTGCTCTCAGCTCCTGACATTGCAGTCGTCAACATCTCAACTTCAGCACAAATCAGCTTCAGGCTGCCTGAGGTGCAGTGAATTCATAATTTTTTTTAAAGGCCTCCCACACTCACCATTCCAACAAAAAAAAAACAAATTGGTTTTATTAATTTAAAACCATAATTCACCATTCATAATTATTCCCCCTACATTTGATGCTTTGTTTACTGTGGGCTCGTGCTAGGTTCTTCTCTAAAACAGGGTTTTATTTAGGCTGCATTTCTGTGTTACTCACAACGAAGCTCGTGTATTTTATGGTCACATGACAAATATTGCTGGGGAATTTTAGTCTCAACTCTGATAACATTCAAATTCTTATCTTCACGCAATATCACATTTCCACATGAATACAAAGCTCTAACTATAAGTTCAGCAACTCTCTGAATGCACTGTAATTATCAATTATTTATTTGTTGTTGCAGAGCTTTGTGCCGCCAACCAAGCCACCGACGTCACCTCAGACGACGGAGTGCGTCCCGTTTATGGAAGGCCGATACTTGAGCGTAGCCGCTTCTCTCAACGGCGGCAATGCTTTGGCCGCCTTCGTTAGGACCTTGCAGCAGTGGGCCCTCGATCTGGGATGTCAGGTGCCTCAGTGTGAGTCCTTACTCTGATTAACTATCATAATATAAATAATTAAGCAGTGTCAGCGTTGATTAGGCCATGTTGGTTTGTCGCCAATTGTCAACTGAAATGCCGATCTTCCCTGCAACCGTTCCGATTTTGAACAGAATATTCTAAGCTAGTTTTGAATCTCATACCCCCAACTCACTGTTCAAATCTTAGAAATCTTAATCACTTGGTCACCCTACCGATCTCAACTAGTACGGTATATTTGTAGTTAGTTTTGAATCTTGAGCCCCCAACTCACTGCTCCAATTGAGGTGATTGTAACCTCTCGGCCACCTCGCTGATGTCTGATTGATAGAATCCAAACATTTTTATGCTCGAGGCAGAAAATATTCGTGTTCTCTAATCTTTCATTGATTTCTCTCACGAGAAATTCTCTCTAAAAAGTGTGTTCAAAGAAAATGTATTTTTATCCTGCTGTAAAAAGTTTGTTTCTTTGATGTTGTTACATGCAAGTTCATGCATGTTTGTTATGAGTTATAAAGTTCGAAGTGTCTCACCTGTCTGAAACCTAGTCTTTCTTTTTATGAATTTAAATATTTATCAACATTTTTCCCTGCATATTTTAGATTTCTAATATTTTCACTCTCAACTGGCGTATTTTAAACATATCACAATCTTTATAGTTGCATAAAAAATTCCCTATAAAATTAGCCAGAAATTGATACTATTTTCTTTAAACATTTGCGTGAATAACAATAAAATTTATGTATCTTCAGAGTAGTTCTGTATATCAATTTGGAACTGCACAGAACTAACAGATGTGTACTGAAATACAGCAAAGATCTGGGAGCGTACGCTGACTCTTGGTGCTGCGTGCTGCGAAGAACCAGAACCTGCGTCGACTTCCTCTGACGCACCTGCGGATAAAGACTCGCCATGTTCGGACCACATGGCGGGGGGCACCAGGGGCAGGGAGACGCTCATGGTCATCACCCCCACCGTGTTTGGGGAGCGTCACTCCCCTGAGGTCAACGGCAGTGCCAGCAACATCCGCTGTGGCAACCTCAAGCTCGGACAGGTCATGCGTGCGCTCTGTAAGGGAATTGTGGCCAACCTGCACAGGTACGCTGCCTTATTATCTTATGTGTTATTATATGTATGTAATATAGACATTTCATTAACACTTTCGAGAATATTTCCACTTTAATGAAAATAAATTCAAATGGGAAGAGCACGAATTGTCAATTGTTATGTTGTCAAAATTTTATTATGGAATTGAGGAGGCTATAATGGGATTGTCCATTCGAATTTCTGAACTAAAATTTTTTTCATGTCAAGTTGGAAAATAGTGTATGGTAAAGATTTTCTTATTTAATTTTTTTACTTTACATTATACTTTTCAAGTTACCAACGGATTTAAAGCAAGTATTTGTTATTAAAACCTATGGCTTCAGTTGTAATTGTGATGGATCACCTCTGGCAGCATGATGCCCAGGAGTGTGCTGCTGGACGCTGGAGTGACCCGCATTGTCGGGGGTGGGTCAGCCCTCACCCGCAACCCACTCCTGCTGCAGGAGCTCCAGGCCCTCTACGACCTCCCCGTGACTCTGGACAGTCGCGGGGACGCTGCCATCGGGGCCGCCATCGCTGCCATCCGTTCTGATGGTGACGTTGCCACCGCTGCCATCCGTTCTGATGGCGATGAGAAGAGCAAGTAGCCGCTGGTGCAGGGCTGGGCCTATAATTTCAAAAAAAGTTAAGATATCGTACGTTCATCGGCCAATCATTGACGGCCTTTCAAGCAAAATCCACCAATCATAGACAAGAAAATAGAGCGTAAGTACTTACGTTCACTTAGCGAGTTTTGAAAGTATGGGCCCACTGGTTAGCAGGAAGCAGCCTAAAATGTAATCCGTAGAAAAGAACATCGAATAATAGAACTAAACGCAGTGATGTTTGCATTATAAAAATACTGGAAATAACTGCAACGAAGTTCGTATAATCGTAATATTAGAACGAACTGCAGCTATGTTATAATCACATGATGGAAATTTGATTTGATAGTACCGGTAGGCGCTGCGCTTGCGTCGTTGCCGTTAACGAAAATAAAACGTTGGAGTGTTACTCTGATCAAGAGGTGCAAAATGAATTATTCGTAATTCTCAGTACGAAACAAAACTATATACTAAATATTTCGAAGTCATCACAAAAGAAGTGTGAATTTTATTTTCAATCGCCATTAAATAAGATTACAAGGAGCTATGACCATTGAATCGATAGACAAAGGTAATAAAATGGCATGATAAATCTACACAATACGTTGCCTTACTTATTTTCACTATTCAAGCCTGTCATTAATATTGCTTATAGCTAATAGGCTTTTATTAAAGTCACTTGATCGAAATTTGCATTGATTTAAATAACGTATGAGCATATTACTTGGTATCTATCTGAAAAAAATTTATTAGGATCTTCAGCTTTTGTTGACAATATTAGGCAGAAGGTTTCTTCATAACGTGAATCTTCAGGGCGTTTATAATTATTGTGTAAAATTTAAATACAAGACATTGGCATTCATTGTATGCCACAACAAATTAAGCGAAAAAGGTACTCAAAATGAGTGTTTTGTTGGGTACAAGCAGCGAAACATAACGTGAGAACTTGTACAAGCTTTATTGTATTTACATGCATGGCCTTGCACATGACTTATCTATGATAATACGTAATAGTTAGAAACGCTTAATGCAGTTTTAAGGATGGACTTTCATTTGAGACACACTTCTTAGATTAAGTCTTCATTGTCAATTGAATTTAAGTGAGCTACAATTTGTTGGCATCTGCAATGAATGCAAATCAAACTTTTCGCGTTGTCCAAAACTCTCATAGAATAATATTGTCGGAGATGTACGAAACAACCGTCTAGAAAATTGGTGTAGCTTTTGATTATATATCTAGCGACCGCAGAAGCCAAAATATGCATGATAAAATAGTGTAAGAGTATTTTTTTCTCGAGTTTGTGCTCAAAACCCAACAGTTTGATGGTAATTTAACTTCTAAACGTCATAATGGATGACTAATTTATTAGTATCAATGCTATGATTACATGAATTTCATACTGACCAGGTGGTTTAAGGAAGTGTATGCAAATTTGACTATTATTGCTGTCAGTCTGTGTCAAAATGATCTCTTCAATGATAGCGTGGGTATCTTGTAACGTTGAGACGTAAGTCGTTAGGAGGCTATTGGATATCCCAAAATTTGTTACTGATATGACAGTGGCAGCTACTCGTGGTGAAGTCTAGCAGACCAACGGTTCACACCTGCCACCTTGGCATTGTGATATAAATTTTCTTAAGTGAGCAGAGTGTTCAGTTCACGATATTTAGCAGCTGATTCCTCTTGTTTTGTATGATCTCTAAGAAGAAACTTAAGTCATCTTGTAGTGCAACTCGTGCCAGTATAATGTGATCTCCATGAGCGTGCCTGCTATCCTCGGCTTAATATTATAAATATTTACGTAACTCAGTACTCACTGCAGTGAGTGACAGAGAGCGCATTTTCGACGAAAATATGAAGTCACGGACAGACAGACGGACATGGCGAGCACAACAGGGCATTTTTTCTATAAATGAGAAAATGCGCTAAAATCACTTGTTGCTAGAAACATTTAAGAACCGCTTGTTGATATTTGGTGAACAATATAATACTGTACTTGAAAAAATTATACATGCATTTGTCTACCGTATCTAAAGTTCAAATTCAATCTCGTATATCGTAGCGTCCGCGAACTTCTTGACGCTTAAAAACTAGTACTTCAATGCAAACTGTGACTTAATTTTCCTGGACAAATATCAATTGTTGATGTTGTTCTACCGGACCATTTTTTATTATTGATCTAAATCTGCTCCTCCTGTATCTATGTACGTACGCATCAGATTCGCTTAGCTAGCTAACCTCTGCATTCTCAATGCTGTTCGTCCTTATAGCAAACTAACCTCTTTATCCTCCTTCATATACGATGTTAAAGTGAGATATTTTCTATAGTCTCCCTGAACAATGTTGTAGTAGTAGACGTTAAGAATAGCAACTTCTGTTATTCGACGATGGGCGTGTCCAGTGTACACGCGACACTAGCTAGCTCACAAACATGGCACTAGTTTACTGACACACACGGTAATAGTTTGTTGACATACAGCACTAGTTTACTGACAAAAACGGCACTATAGTTGCTGACAAAAACGGCACTAGTTGCTGACAAAAACGGCACTATTTTACTGAAAACAAGGCACTAGTTTGCTGACACACGGCACTAGTTTGCTGACACACGGCACTTGTCATGTGGTCTCTCGGCACTTTTTGAACGTGTCTCTTCACTTGCCAATTAACTGCTCAATCGCCGTTTGTTGATCTTGTTCTTCCAATGGCAATTTTTTTCACGAGGACATATCTGTGGCTAAGGCTGCGACACGACCGCTTGCTGTATATTCTACCTCTACCGCGCTCAAAGTCAAGGCTATCGTATTGAATTTGATTTATTCCGGAGGTGTTCGTTTTAATAAGAGAAGCAAACACAACGTGTATAACAATTTTGTCAAACTAATATGTATTCTTTCTTCGTGCTAGATTTTCTTTAGTATAACTACAACATTGAATTGTAGATGACGACAGACGAATTTAATCTCGTGATTTGATCCTTTGTGTTTAATTAGCTTCATTGTATCGTGCGAATATTTTCCCGTGTTGCCGAGAATAATTATGGTTTCTTTATTTTGTAAGTGAGCGACGGCAAGCCAAGACCCATGTAGTGCAAGCCTTTTATTGGGCAACTGAAACTTAATGTTGGTTTCTTGTTTGTCAATGTTTTTTATGATTATAATCTTGTTAGTCAAAATTATTTATTATTGTAATTTTGTTTGTCAAAATATTATAATTTGCACTTTTTGTCGTCGCTTCCGATCAATAATTTGTTTTCAAATTCCATTACTTTCAATCACGTGATTAATTATGTGTGAACTATGAGCCATTGTATGATAAAACATTCGCTATTTAAGTTGAATTTGTTTACATCGATGCCGCGTTTGAATTTTTCTTCTAATTTTAATGAATACTTTTATTGGTTATATGATTAATATTATGTTTGATATATGTTGCCAGTACAGAATAATTTCCTCATGGTTAACACCCCGGCCTTGGGACATCGTTTACATAGAGAGTGCATGCATGAGTTAAAATATGTACCCTTTATTTGTTAAGCTCGAGAAAATTTTTATTAATTTTACTAGTTTTTAGAATAGGTACGTACTGTATGTTGCATCGATGTTTGAGTTACCACCTTATAATCTATCTGTACGGATTATTTTTTATTGTTTACTTAGCTTTTAGACGATCGAATTTTCAATCGATTTTTTGTTGTCGCATGCCTTGTGTTCAGTTGAGACACGAATAATTTTAGAGTAACTGGACCAAAATCTACATATCTCCCATGCTCTGTTTGTAATCTTTCGCGCTAAGCTACTAAATATTGATGTTGAGATGGAAAAATTTGCGACCCATGAACTAAAACTTATCCCACAAACGAATTGATAAACTCGAAACATTCTCCACTATAATTTGCAAATATTGAGAATAATTGCATAACTAAATAATTTTAACAAATAAATAAACATAACTAAATCTTCAGAACGTTTTATCCGGGTAATGCGTGTACCAGACAGGCTGCTTTGGCAGACTATTTGAAAATGAAACTGTTCAATAACTTAATCTTAGTTAACATTTCCCGTATTTCCACCTTAAGAAATGAGATGCCATTTTGCCATTTTCGCTTCTGAAACAATCTGGTCTACACTAATACAAAAAGATTTCGTTATTGTTATACTCGTGTTAATATATTCCGTATTGCCACCTTAAGCAATGCGACGGCTTTTTTCGCTTCTGAAACAAGCTGGTCTATACTAAAACAAAAAGATTTCGTTATTGTACATTAATATTGGCGAATTTTAGCCAGTGTATTGAAACCGTCCGTTTTTTGGTGACCAAAAATTCTTAAGATGTTCGATGTCGTACAAGATTGATCAGTGATGATATGGTGCTATAAATAATATCTTTCGGGAAAACGAGATGAGAACCAGAGTGAATCATCGATATTTTTGCTATCAGTGCCTCAGTGTGCCTCTATGAAACCAAACGCAGTGTTATTTCGTGCGTCAGCCAACAAAAACCTAAGCTTCAAGTTATCTTCAAATTTTCACTGTACTTAATTGAAAGAGTCGAGATTCGATATTGATTATGCATGAAGATATTATCATTTATATTAACTGCTAATTTGTTATATGAACTGCCAAGATCAAGATAGCGGGATTTTTTTAGACAAAACTTCAAGTTTTTTCAACACGAACATAACATTTTCCTTTGTTGTAATGTTTCCAATGATTTGGTGCCCCAGAGACTAACACGAGTTTAGTCTTCGAGACTATCCATCTTTTAGGTTGAACTGTTAGCTTATCTTGACCGCTACCACGTGCAGCACATATCATAGCAATAGTAACTGTACGCATAATTTTCTAGTATGCTGAACATTGTTCTGAATTGCCAGTTCAGTTCAGAATAAGCATAAATACTTTGGAGCTCGGTTTGATAATACATCTTGGTTACTGATCAAGTTTCAATATCGCATTAAAACATGACTTATTATTCTAACTGGTCTTCGGCCAAAAATCGTACTGTAGAGTTTAAAACTTCATATTTTCTCACTAAGTGTGAAGAAAATTT